GTACAAACATGTTAGTTTAGACTCAGCCACAAAATAACTTTGATGAATCTTCATTGCGTAATGTTTTAATGCATTCTTCACATCTTCTTTACTGTCAAAATATAAGCCAACAAATAAAGGATCTCCTTCAACCCATGAATTGACTTCTTGAAGATGTTCTTCATTCATTTCTTGATCAGGATATTCCCAATTAATATACTTATACTTTGGAGTAACATTCCAAAAAGGAATTACAGTATCTTCTGCATTATATTTATCATTAATATATAAATAAATAACCACAAAAAATAAATTCTTTATAATTATTTCACATTACCTCCTACATTTTCGGTTACTTGTATATGTAAGTTGGAATTAAACTCGCCTTCAACATCAGTAGAAGAAGAACTGCCTAACGAAATTTCTGCTTCATCATCTCCATCAGTGTAACTCTCATAATCTGAGTGTTCATTATCTTCATCAGCATCATTCCTAACTCCTTTATTGCAACAAATTTATCAGTTTTAATTCAATCAATTACATATATTACTTAAAAGACATTAGAACGAAAATAATTTTACCTTCATTATAATCACGACTCACAAGGGTCCTATCATTTTGTTGTGAAAGTGATAAATTTAAATTTATCGTCTGTAAGGACATTGATGAACTTCCACCAACAGCAATATCTACGTATAACTCAATAATATTTCTACTAGATTGTTGTTGAAATGCACTTATCATGCAATCAATATCTTCATCATCACATATATCCAAAGCTGTATACTGTCTAATATTTTCATCAATCAAAAAACGAGAAATTAATCTAGAAATCACTTGATTATGATTAAGATTGAGTTTCACATGGATTTTTCTTTTCAATGTTTCATAACTTATTCCTCGTTTTATTTGAATTACTTTTTTACTTCCTTCAAAACTTACTCCTTCATTTCCTTCATAGATTCTACCATTCCAATATATAATAATAACAATCCCACTCATCCTGCATTTTATTCAAATAAACTTTATTTAATATTTAAACTTTACAATAATTAACATAAATAAAATAAACAATACTCATTAATTAAATATAACTAAAATTATACATTCAAAATTAAATAATAAAATTATTAAATAACACATACCTGAGATTTTCTTCTAATGTGTCCTTCCGGTGAAAATAAGAGAAGGGTTGGGGTATATATATAGTGTTCAAACTTTGCAAGTGGAGTGTGCAATTTCGCCACTAAAATGGCAAATTTGTTATTTGTTTCGCCAGTCCAGTAACGAAATTAATTTAAAAATATATTAAAAGAAAATTTTCGCCATCAAATATGCGAAACTGTACTTTACGTGAAACGTGTCAAATTCTTATACATTTCGCAATTCGGTTGGCGAAATTCTTTTGACAGTCTGGAGACACGTGTTAACATGCAATTGGCTGTATATACCTAAGAGAGCGGTTCCCGCAGGACCGCTCTCTAATATGTACTTCTAAGAGCGGTTCAAATGGAACCGCTCTCTAAAACGAGTTATGAGAGTGGTTCAAAAGGAACCGCTCTCTAAAATGGACTACTGAGAGCGGTTCCTTTTGAATCGCTCTCTAAAATAGACTTATGAGAGCAGTTCCAAATTAACCGCTCTAAGAAGTCAGATTTCGTACAAAAAAATTTAAAAATTAATTACTTTCGCCCGCCGTTTAACGAAAATTTGATCCACGTGGCAAAAACACCCCAGATTGAGAAATTGTTTCATATTTGCTATAAAATAATAAATTATTTTTTAATTTACAATATTATAATAAATTTGCCCAAATGAATTTGTATAACCATGGTTAAAGTATTAGCATGTCACACCGTCTATTAAAAAATTATTCTTTAAATTTTTAACAAGGGTATCAAAAATTGTTCATATTCAAATCTTGAAAAAAAGCAATGACATTGAAAGTAATTTGTACACTATTATTAATATCATGATTATTTAATTATTAATTTAATATGAAACATTTTAATTTATTATATCTTTTAAAAATATTATATATTTTTTATAATAATAAACAGAACTTTATATAACTTAAGGAAATAACTTAATCATAAAATCTTATTTGATATTACTCTTAAAATATTTATATTTTATGAATTATTAATATGAGATATTAAGTCATCAATAATAATAATATAGTAGATTAATTTACTACGAGAACATATTACTTAAGTGTTATAGATTATTTTTAATATAATAATTATATATGTGACTTTTAGGTTTGAAATAACTACAATTCTTATTTGAAGATTTTAATATTTTAATCTAGTTAAATGCTATTTATACCAAAAAGTTAAAAGTTAAACGTAAAATAAATTATATACAAAAATATATGTGATATAAATTAAATTTGTTTATTCTACGTAATAGGTGTAATATTTATGAGTCTCTCTTAATAGACTTAAACTATAAAATGTATAGTCATGCTTAATTAAATATATATAATATACTTAAAAATAAAATTAGATTATAGAAAATGAATTAATTATGTCTAATTATATAATATATTATCATTAAAATAAGTTACGTCAAATTAATGACATTTTTTTATTTAAATAATGTATTATAATATATTGCTTATTATTTATAATATTAAATATTTGTATTTAATATTGTAACGAACATATAAAACTGCATACAAAAAATAAGCCTACTGAAAAAGTTAAACTATAATTTTATCTAAATGGGTTACACTCATTAAATATAAGTTGATTCATTTAATTAATGCTTATTTAAAAAATATTATAAAATTATCATTTTGTCTAATAATTAATATAGATATAACAAAAATGTGATATATCATTAATTTGTGTAAAGGAAAAATATATATAATAAATAAATAAATCTTTTAGTTTATTTTATACATGTTATTTATTATTTTTATTAAATATTTTATACATTTTAATTTATACAAATTAATAATATGATATACCTGTATATATTATGTTTGCATAACATAACAAAGAAATTTTTATATAAAGTAAAAATTTATATAAGGTAAATATAAAAAAGTTAAGTAAATTTAGAATAAAATTAAAAAAAAATACGTAAAAGAGAATTAAATATTTACAGTGTAATTTATATATTACTTTTAGATAATTTTAATTTTAAATCATACACGTTGTGGGAATTGTAAAAACAAACAATTTCAGTGAATATTTTACTGCTGAAATAGAAGATTCTGATTTGTAATATAAATGTTGATTATTAAGTATTATTTAATTTTGAAATTCAAGGTAAAAATTGTTAATTGAAAATATTATTATGAAATAGCATGTGAGTGCAGTATATAAGTAGCATCATACTTGTAAAACAGTATAACGAGTGAGTAACTCCTTCCAGTGTGGTGAAGAACGACACCATGACAGAGAGCCGTGCCTTTCCACTTTTGCTTGTCATTTTGGTTTGCACAACTGGTTAGTCTCTCTCTCTCTCTCACACACACACACACACACACACATGTGGTGTTTTATCTGAAAATGAAATATATTGAACAGCAGGAATTCCAAGATCGATTGAAGGAAGGGGACCCTTTGAATGCCCTCGGATGATAAACTGCACTCAAGTCTGCCAAGGAATTCCCAACTGCTGCGTACATGGTCAATGCATTTGCCAACCCTGCCCTTCTCACTTCCATTCGCTCCACACTTTTCCCATTTTTCGATTCAATTAGGTTTTCTTTTGAAATTTGGAGGAAGAAGGGAGAAAAATGTTTGAAGAATAAGGAAGAAAAAAGAGAATTAATACAAACTTCTATAAATTAGAAGAATTAAAAAAATAAAAGATTAAGAGAATTTTAGAAATTTTATACATCATTTGTTTAGTTAACTGATTCCACAAATTAACTATCCTAACTTTGGACTTGATTTAGCGCATCAGATCGAGAAGGGGTGCAAATAAGTTATTATCGAATGATTAGTACATGTTTGGTTACAATTCATTTTAAATGTTATTCTCTCCTTCTCTTTTTAATATCCGTTTTATAATATTAATAAATAATTAAATGCTTTTGTTCGATTCTATCTTTAACTATATATACAATTAATAAGAATAAAAAATTAATTAACATGAAAAATAAGAAATATGATTAAAAAAAGTAGTTAATTATTTTATAAAATTAAAATACTGATTACTTTCTTTAATTCTTAAAATAAAACTTTAAATGATGAATAAAAATGAAGAAAGTTAATTTTTTAATATTTATAAAAATATTGACAAATATTTTTTTAAAATAGAGTAAATTAAAGATGCATTAAAAATAATCTTTTTTCTTAAATTAGTGACATCGTTTTAAGAAAAATAAGTAATCATTTGAATTAATTTTTTATTGATAAAAATATTAAATATAACATTTTATTAAAACATATTAAATAATTTATATATTACATTTAATAAATATAACATGAAACACTAATATTTAATTAATGTATTTTATAACTAGATAAATAGATAGACAAAACTCAATAAATTTTTAAATTATTATATTTTAGTGTTTTTTCCTATTTATGGTTGTATTCTTTATTATTTTAATCCTTGTTAACTCTCGTTATTAAATGTTTACATAGCAAATTGTTGCAGAGGTTAGCATTGATATACGTGAACCTTGACTAATCCTATATGAGTTGTCCAACGTTAAGACACAAGTGCTACTTTGTATAAAAATTAATGAGGTGAATTTGATACAGCGATGGTTTTAGTTTATGTTTGAAAGATAATAAGAATTTATATTTAATCATTTTTATTTTTAAATGTACAAAAATAATATATTTATAATATTAAATTTATAAAAAATATTATTTACAAAAAATTTATTTTGTTATAGAAAACCTGTTATTACAATTTTCGTCCATCAATTTGTGAAATGACGTACTATCAAGCATTTCTGACGTGGAAAATTATAACTCAAATAAACAATTATTAATAGGTTATTGAATTGATGATTGATTCTTATCTCTTTCATTGTTCTTTCATCAAATCCATTCAAGAGTGTTGAAAGTTGCAAATGCCTATGCACGGAACCTCTCTTTTAGTGCCTTCTGTTAAAGAGTTAGCAAAGCAGCCAATGATTGAAGTTCCAGAACGATATGTTCGTACTAATCAAGATCCACCTATTCTATCCAACACAACCTCTTTTCCACATGTTCCTGTCATTGATTTACATAAATTGTTGTTTGAAGATGCAACTGAGCTAGAGAACCTCGACCATGCCTGCAAACAATGGGGCTTCTTCCAGGTTTGCCTTATTCACCTCTTTCAATTAATTGCATTTTTCATTAATTTTCTAAGAAGCCAAAGCTATGATACACAATCTCAACGCAAGTATCGGATATTACGACTATGTCTTTTCTCAAAAAACATATGATCCCATACATTTAAAATATATACAAAAAAAAAATCATAAAATATAATAACTGAAGATTGTTTTTTAATACTTTATCGATAGAGTATAATAACGTTATCATGATCATTTTTATGTAAAGAATTTTAAATTATACTAAAAATTGCTTTCCGCTCTTAAATACTTTATCCACACAGAGTAAGGGTGTTGATGAAGAAATTTGTGATATGTAAACAATTTACATGCAACTATTTTTTATCAAAAAGATATGAGAAAATTGAAATTGTGTGTACATCAACTATATACACTTTTGCCAACATTTTTGGTTAAACACTCATGATGAATATAGCATTGAAGACATTGCTGCATATGCATAATTTTATTTGCTTTGTACTAATTTAGTTTTAGAAATTGATTACATCTGATTAATCATGGAGTTAACCACTCAGTGGTGGAAAATATGAAGATAGGAGTTCAACAATTCTTCAACCTTCCAATGGAAGAGAAGAAGAAGCTTTGGCAAACAACAGAGGATATACAGGTGTTTGGTCAGTTGTTTGTTGTATCTGAGGAACAAAAACTAGAATGGGCAGACATGTTCTATGTTAACACATTTCCATTGCATGTTAGGAATCCCCACTTAATTCCTAGTATTGCCCAACCATTCAGGTTGTCTCCATCTTTCAGTATACGTGTTAGCTACAAAGTCTACATCATTGGCTTACTATGTTGGTAACTCAGATTCTGTTTTGTTGCAGAGAAAATCTAGAGGCATATTGTTTAGAAGTAAAAAACCTTTGCATCACAATCATTGGCCTTATGACAAAAGCTCTTAAGGTTGGAACTAATGAATTGTAGAGTTATTTGAAGATCCAAGTCAAGGAATGAGGATGAATTACTACCCTCCATGTCCACAACCCGAACGAGTCATTGGAATCAATCCTCATTCTGATTCTGGTGCCCTTACCATCCTTCTCCAAGTCAATGAAATGGAAGGTCTTCAAATCAGAAAGGATGGAATGTGGATTCCTGTTAAGCCCCTATCTAATGCTACAAAAGCATTCATATAATCACGTCTTTTAGAGTACAATTTGATACACCACTTGAGTGTTCATTAAATAAGCTATTTAAATATTGGCTTATTCCATTAAGTTTATCATGAAATTTATGAAGATAAGTTGAAAACAACTTATTTTGATAAGCTATATTAAGAAGCTTACTAAAATAAGCTAAAAAGAGCTTATAAGAGTCATAAGTTATTTCCTTAAACTCTTCTAAAAGGTCCTTAATCATTTAGCATTTAAATTGTCTTACAACAACGTAAGTTTAAGAAAAATTGGAGTATACAATAAACATTATGCTTTTAATAATTTTTATCCATATGGTAAACTTTTTGGCAGATACTAACCAATGGAATTTACCGGAGCATTGAACATAGAGCAACGGTAAATTCAGAAACGGAGAGGATTTCCATTGCCGGATTTCACAGGCCTCAAATGAACAGAGTAATAGGTCCAGCACCAAGCCTTGTCACCTCTGAAAGACCCGCATTGTTCAAAAGAATTGTAGTAGCAGATTACATGAATGGATTCCTTAAACGCGAGCTACAAGGGAAATCATACATGGATGTTATTAGGATCCAAAACGAGATTGGTAAATAATTTACGGCATAGGACTGCTTGAAATGGAAAGATAGAACAAGTACAAGGATTAATAATGCTACACATAGCAGCTAATGTGCAACAATTGTTGTTCACACATATGCACTTGCAGCTCATGACTTCAAGCTGAACATAACATACCTTGGAGTTGGAAGTAAATGAGGGTTAGCTAATTTATATTATTTGAAAATCAAATGCAAATTCTTGAACTAGTTATCTGAAAGTAGCATAGGTGTGTATCCAACCTTGTATTTATATTCATTACATAACATAATGGTTTTCGTAATCAAGTTTAAATTAATCACTTATTCAATAAGTTATTCAAGAATGAAGTTGAATAACCACTTTTACATGCAATTTTATTTGGTACAAAAGGAATGTAAATAACAAAAAGAAAAGGCAACAAACTGGTCTTGAGATTGATTTGCACCAGCCTTAGCTAAGAAATCTGTGCATTGGTTAGCCTCCCTCAGGACATGAACTAGTTGGATCATCCATTCTCTATTCATAATAACAGTTATATAAGCCAAGAGAGCACCGTATTCATGGAAGGTCATACTGGCTGCATTATGGATCAATTGATGAGCATCCAGCGAATTCGTTTCACAAATCACTAGTCTAGAACTACACCGTTTGTAGGTTGTGGCTTTAGCAAAACCAGCATAAAAATTGTTATGTTTAAGTTAGTACAGCTGGTGAAAAAAAGTACAGAGATTTTATATCTTTTAAAAGATAACTTGTAAATTTCAAGTAACATTTAGTTTATTTTATGTCTTTAATTTTAAAATATTATCAAATTTATATTTATTCATAATAAAAAATTTGTCTTTCTCTTACTTCTTTGAAAACCTCCTCTTCCAATGAGTGAAAAAATTCTATGCAACAAAATGTTTTTGGTATAAGACCTCTTTAAAAGACAGAATACTCCGAATAACCATTTTTATTATAATTATTTTCAAGATTTTATCTAAGATGTTAATTAAACGATAATAATCTAACGGCTTAGACCAATAAGTACTGGTTTTCACCTTTATAACATATTCAACATTATAAAGCTAAAATTAAATGCAGAACACTGTTGTTTTGGATGTCCAACATTAATTTTTCTCCTTCTATGTATTAACTTGGATTCTGTCATAATGTTTTAGACAGCAACCAAGATGACTGTGTTTTGAGTGTACACAACTGAGGCTCTGGTCTTGTTAGCAGATGGCTATGATTGGCAAACAGGTTGGAACATTTATGATTGACTTCATTAATAAGAACCTATCAATTCAAGTTGGTTTGGATTTCTCATTACTCAATAGAGCTTGGTGGCAGCCTTGAATCCCACATTTATGTCTGGATGGCCTCAAATAGATGTGAAGGAAATAGTAAAGGAGAGAGAGATAGATCAAAATACCTAATTTTCATTGTTTATTTTGAAAAAGAACTAGTTTTTCTTTTCTATGCATAGATTGATAAAATTATTTTTTTTAATTAAAATTTATAAACTAATACAAGAATAAAATATGATTTTTATTGGTAATTTATATTTTAAAAAAAAACATCTTCAATTAATAAATAAGTTTGTTTTTTTTCTCAAAGTAACGAAAGTTTTTGTGCAATTTCTATTTGTCGCAAAGAGGCTAAGGCAATATGTTTATGCCATGCCATAAACATACGCAACATCAATACTTATTATATACACACGGTCTTATTCATACTCAAGTGCTTGTTAATTAAGGTAAAACACTAAGTTTAATTACTAAGTAGTTTGCTCTACAATTAACCAAAATAATCTATTAATTTACTCTTTTTTAAGTATATTCTTTTTTTAAAATATTTGTATTTACTTGAGCTAAGGCGTTATAAAAATAATATCTATCTTATTATTTAGTCAATAGCAAAAAAATAAGTTAATTGTTGATCCTTTCTTTTTTATTTAAAAAATAATAATTTATTAGTTAATATTAATTTTTATAATATAAATTATTATATGTTTTTATAAGTTTTTACTGATTTTTATAATTTTATATATAAATTTTAATAAGTCCGTCATCAACTCACTGACTATTAGCATGTTATCCGCTCTTAAACAGGTACTATCTGAATTAAGTTCTGATATTCGACAAAATCTAATATGATACTATCTGAATTGATTTAAATTGAATCAATTTTTGTTTTCTATTTTATTTTGTAAGATAGTATATATGAATTTATAACTCCTCTTTCTCCACATTCAAACTATTATGCCATGGATTTAGGCTCACTAGACCCCCATGGGCAACCTGACCCGCATCAAGTGGGCCCAATTTGGTAGCCCTCAGGTCAGGCCCAACAACTTGCTTCTTTTTTTGGCGTCTAAATAGAAGCTCAAACCCATATTTTACACTTCTTAGTTTGTTACCAATTTTGGAGTTAATTCAAGCTTCAAACTCATTTAGCTGGCTCTACCTTCAGTATAAAAGGTTAATGAAAAATTTTGAACAAAAAGCTCCATTGTCTATCATCTAAATCCAAACATGTTCTGTGAAAGAATTTAACATAGGTGATTGTTGGGCAGAAAAAAATTACATTATATAGGAGCACCTAGCAAGCATCAAATCAAAACCATGAACAGATTCCCAACAATAAAAAAATACTTTAGCATTTCTCCTTCTGATTGATCAGACTCAGTGAGATCCTGTCTTTACATTCTTTAATACATTTAGTGACCAAACCTATTTTAATAAAATAGACTTCCACTTAACATATGATACATATATTCATTCTTGAAAGGAAAGGAACATTCCATGAATACTGCTCTACTTCCTCCAACCTAGAGTCAGTCCTCTGCAAGGGAATGTGACTGCCCCCCCAAGGCATTGACACCAGGACATTGCTCACTACTATCTCATCTAAAATATATTGCAGGGTATGGTGGTTGTGGCCTTCAAGTTTGGTATGTCATGTGCAAGACTCTAAGCATAGTTATTTCCATTTGACAAGAATGAAAGCCAAAATACAAGCGGGGGCGAAGATGAAGGGTGTCTAGATTAAACATCAAAGTTCAACTTTCATCTGATTTGCTGGCACAGTACCTACAAAAGCATGTAGCAAAGGTGATTTATTTGAGAAAATGAAACTTACAAAAAAAGGGCTTGTTTGTTGGGGTGTGTATACCATTACCATCAACATCTTGGCTACTCAGGGGTGCAGTTGTTGCAAAGCTCATTTGTACAACATTGTGAAGCTCATCCTCCCATACATCAGGCAGCTATGGCAAATCGCATCAGAATATGCAAATAGAATATTGTAAAATAAGGTCAGGAAAAACATAGGAGAAATGCTATTTCGTGTAAAGGTAGGTAATCACTATATAAGTAAGGCCACGGTAACTCAAATGTAAGTATGGTTGATGCATTACAGTAATCTCCAGCAAAAAATGCAATCCATAAATCTGTCAATTTTAGTTGTTGTTGATATGATGTAGCAGCGTTTACTCGTATAAACATCAAAATTATGTGAAAAGGAAATTACAGCACTCACAATTGCAATGGAACAATACCTGATTTGGTTCCTTGAATCCTCCACTCAAGGGTGCTAACTGTGGATGAATGGTTCTTCGAAGGATATCTGATGAGTTTGGCATGTTTGGAATAATTGGCTGAATCATCCCTGGTTGAGGTGGATGTAATGGAGGAAAAGCCATAGACATCTCTAGAGGAAACCCTAGTGCAGATGAAGGACCGGGCCGTTGTTGAAGAATCTGATATAATAATGTTCAGAATGAATCAAGCACTCGTGAAGAGTATAAGTTTTTTCTCACTCACTATGCAAATAAATTAACAACTACTTACATCTTTAGCAAGAAGTCCTTCAATATTAAAATCAAGTCGCGGATTTACTGTTGCAAGTTTCATAGACAAAAACTGCCAATAGGAAAGAGGAGGGTATGTCAATTTAACTTAAATAAAATTGCAAAGGTTTTTAAAGATACATGTCAAGTACCAACTGTATATGAAATTTTGAACAATTATCCTGCAATTTCATTCAAAATAGAACAAAGATGACAGTGCTAACATAATGAGGAGCAATCATTCAAAACAAGATCATTTCAAATACAAAGAAAATGTTATGGTTGTCAAAGTTTCTGATTAGAAATTCTATTGAAACATAAATGTTGATTCATACTATGTTGGAAGCAGAACCAGAACAACAGCATAAATCAGTTAGATGATTTAACAACCACTGATGGGAAAAATAGATAATCTTTCACTCATTACCTCAACCTGTCGTTGAAGTGACTGTACATAATTGATGATTTCATCAAGCATTACCGCCTTGCCAGTGACCTACGAACATCAACATATTCCACATTAAAAGGATGTGATACCCTCAAAACACTATAAGACACAACACAGTGAATTCTTATGGTTTGAAATTCAGAAGCCACCTTGCTGCATCCAGGTACAAGGTCTTGAAGAAATTTCATCCTCTCACTGATCTTTTCCCTCCTCACCTACAGTGAAAATCTAATTTAAAATTCTCCATTCAAAACCATTTTTTTTAACAACAGATAATTTCAAATAGTATATTACTCTCTCTGCAAGGCTATGGCTATTGGTTGCTTGACCCCGGCGAGCTCGAACGTGTATGTATTCCTCCTTGGGAGGATCAGACGCTTGAGACCCCGGTTTGCCATTCTTCCCAGAAGCCTTTGTTGTTGAAGTTGGTTGTTGTTCTCCCTTCTGTTGACACTCTGAATTGTCCTTTGCACCTTCACTTGGTAACTCTGGAGCTCCATTGGCTTTATCATTATCAACATCCTACAACAAGGAAAAAAATCAAATGGATAAGGGGAAATAGCACATCACACATAGTTGTAACACAATTCACAACCTTACCTGTCCACTTCTTTTCCTTTTCTTTAGTCCTTTGATGGAAGGTTCCTCACTAGTACCCTCCAGCATTGGAGAATCATCCTGGCCGCCACCATCATCACTAGATTCAGCTCTATCAGACTCATTAGCTGACCTAACAAGGGCTTGCTTCCCTTCATCTTGAGATACAGCATGATTTTCACTTCTTTTATCATTCTTGAGAGGGCTTCCTTTAGGAGTCAAATGCTCAACAGATGAAGGAACATCTTTTGTGGCTTCCACCACATTGAGATCACTTTCCTGAGATTGTCCTACAGTTACTGATTTTAACCCATGGCCTGCAGGAGCATCCCTTGTTCCATGCATTGTGCCACCACTCCCAGCATACAGATTCATGGATTGAGGAATCCCATATGAGTTCACCATATCACCAAAGTTCCCTCCACTGAAACATGAGAATCTTGCAGCTCTCTCAATGAATCCAGAATCAGTTGGAAACTGAGATAAACTCTGAGGAAACATCCCTGGTCCATTTGGTAAAAAACCATCCCCTTTCAACATAGAATTTGCAGGGTTCCAACCCATCTCAAGTGTTCCGTGATGATCCTGACCAGCCCTTCCAAATCCAAAGCTTTCTTTTCTGATTCCACCTGTGTTTGAAGAACTCCCATTATTGTGAACATTACTAATGTCACAAAATCCCATGTTTTGGGAAGTGGTGGAATGGTCCCAGAAGTTTGGACCAAATGAGTCCACCATTGAAGCAGAGGAACATGAAGAAGAACCAATCAAATCCCCTCTGCTTACATTCATAGAATTTCCCATAGCAACCAAACCTACAGAAGAATTTGCAAGATTGGCACCTCCAAATCTCCAATCCGAAGGCAAACCAGTAGAATAACTCATAGGATCCTCGTTTCTATCTAGCTCAAACTTTTCTTTGTCACTCATATCCAACTCCTCTTAATAAGTGATATCAAAGCAGCCACCAGCAGAGTCTTTCCTATGATATCTTCAGAATAACTGATAATGATATCAGAAAAAAAATTAACACAAAGGACCCTCAACAATGGCTAAATGGTAGCTAGCTGTTACAGCATGAAACAATTATCAAAATTGGAGCCAAATTTCAAAGAAACTAACAAATGAAACTTCACAAGTCCCAATATAAGTTAAACAAACATGAACGCCCTAGAAAAACAGAAGTAACTAGAAACTTATCCAGGTTTGAACTATGTGAAGCTAAAAAGAGAAGGTTAGAACCAGAAAGAAAAAAGAGGTAGCAGCTTCAGTTAATGTTGTGAAGAAATTGCCAACGGGCCAAAACAAAACCCAAGTACCCAAAAGATGTACCAAAGCTCACACGAGTTTGGCAGCTACCATTTCCAAAGCCAACACTGAACTTGAAGTACCAAATTTCATAAAGAAGGACCCCCCAAGAGAGAGAGAGAAAGGCTAAAAAAGACTGTTCAAAGAAAGAGCTGAAAAGAAGTCCATGGAAGCAGTCAATTATGCAAAGAACATTGATTTCAGCATAATAAATAACCCCATTCAAGCCCTAGTCAGAGTTGCAGAAACCAACCCTGCTAGAGAGAGAGAGAGAGAAATAAAGGGCAGGAAAAAAATAAAAAAGGACCCAACTTTAAAAGTGGGAAGAGAAAGATACCCATTTCTGATCCTGTGCTACTTTTGGCACCCTGCCTTCCATTCAAGCTTTTCCCTCAAATCAAAACACTTTATTCAATTTGGGATTTCTTCAAACGCCCTCCTTCATTACAAACCTGCCATTCACTGTGCCAGAGAGAGAGAGAGAGAAAATAAAAATAAAATAAAATAAAACTTTAAAGCTTGGAGCTTTTTAAAGGGAGAAATCTAAAGCTTGGATTTTTTAGAGAGAGAAAAATAAAGGGTGGCAGAAGGGAAGAAAAATACAGCTAACAAACCAATGTGTATTCAAAAGAGAGTGCAAAGAAAAGAGTAATGGCAAAGACCCTCCATTTATATACCTCACGCTCACATAAAAAAGAGAGCTTTTGATGATTAACCACCGCCACAATCACTGTAAAATACTAATAAAAAGACCTGCCCCTTAAGCTCTTCTTCCTCAACTTTGAGAAATTAATAATCATTGTTTTGTATTGTGCCTACTTTTATTTTATATTTTGCAATTTTTATAACTCACCAAATGTGCAACTTCTATGTGATAATGATATCAGTTTGAGCTAGCAACTGACATTGCCAACTCTTACCTGGGGTGTTTTTCTCTTATCTTATTGAATTGTCCTTTATTACACCTTGAAAGAAGTGCATGAAGGATCTTTAATAAGGGTTTTCCTTTGTTTTTGGTCAAGGCCCCGAAATCTAGCTGGGGTCATGTACTCATTTCTTTTTTCGCCTTGTAATATTAAAATTGAATTCTAAGCAAAAAACAACTCATATGGGTCTTGCACCGTGGATTATTATTAATGTTAGATGCATTGTCTAGGTTCTTAGGGAGAGAGGGAGAGAGAACATCAAAAGAAGATACATTGCCTGTGGCATCTATTTCTGATAAATAACTTCGCCATCTTATGCATCATACTCTCTTGTTTGTTTGTGGTGCCTATGAAATTAAAACACAGAAAAACATCGGTTTTGTAAGTGTCTTAACTTATATAATTGCAAATTTAATATTTGATACATTTTCTTACTTCTCTCGTCAAACAGAAAGTCACAAAAGGTTCATGCCCAGAAAGTTCAAAGAATTTTGTTAAAAGAGCTTTAAGTTTAGAAGGTAGAGTTCAACTTGTTGAGGTCAAAATTTATACGATAAGATTTTATAAGGGTTTATTTTTCTAATTGCGTATTATTTAATATGAAATGAGTAAATAAGTAATTTAATTTTTTAAATCAATCTTTACATTTATAATATAATACTTCAATTTTATTATCATTCGAACTAGTTTCTCAATTTATAAAGTTAACAGTAAGTCAGTCTTTTCGAAGAATTAAAATGAGATATAAAAAGAATTTAAGTTTGTACAATTTTTATAAATTTATAGCCTAAATTGTGAATAAATAACAATTTCAAAGATAAAGTTCCACATTTACTGGTAAAAAAATGCTATTATATTTTATCATTTAAGTTTATATATCCTCCTATTCGTAAAAAAAGCAACTTATATATTTTAAAATATTAATTGATTTTTTAAAGAAATATATATCACGTTTATATGAAAAGAAAAAATTATAAGCTGAATCAGCAATAAATAAATAACATTTCTCTTGTTGAAAACTAAAATGAAGCATATAGTTTATAATTATAAGTACAGTTATCTTTAGCAACAAATAAATTGTCGTTGCCCCGTCATATTCTTAGAAATAGTAGTCAAGTTGGTATGAAAGAATTTGCAATTAATCAACTTTCCTTTATCTGCATAATTTTTCTCATTTAATTTCAGTTTTATATTTGTGGATATCTTTTAATAGAAAATTATTATATACCATTATCATAACAAATATCTTTTAATGGTATGAAAATAGCACGATGAACAGAATTTTAACACAAGAAACATCAAATTGAATTATTATTCTTTTCTCTAATTTTAATTTTAGTTTTATTTATTTATTATTCAATTTAATCTTTCAAATTATTATTTTTATTACAATTTCCTTCTAGTTTTACTTTGTCTCTTAATCTAACAAAAGTTTTTAAATAACCATGTTTTAGATTAATTTTATATTTTATATTTCACCGTCAAACCATTATTTAAAACTCTAAAATTGCCACTAAAAATCTTATTAATTTCTCACAAATTATAATTGACTGACCTATTATTTTTTTACATTTTAAACACCGAATAACTACTAAAGTCATTATTATTCATTTAATTTCGTATGGCTATCATTATCACTTATAATAATTTTTGTTATGCACTTCATTTACATTACATTTTAAAATATTTTCTGAATTGGTAAAAATTAAAAAACAAGATTAAATAAAATTTGATATAAAAACTTATTTAGAAAATAATTAAATAAAAATTTAAAGTAAAATTCAAAAGAAATGTAGAAAAACAATTGAATAAAAAATTAAAATATCAAACCAACATCTAAACTAAAATTAGAGGATAAAATTTATAATTTAGCTAAAACATTAGGAATTACGAAATTAGCTTTAATATTTAAAAATTAAAAGCATTGTATTTTTTTGTCTTGAAAATATTAATTTTCTTTTTTACAGCTGTTGTGGAGGTAGGGATAGTGATACGGATAATAAATACCCACTGTTTGCACTTGCAAATAAGATCCTATAATATATTCACTTCATACTTGTGCTCAAGTGAAAATAAATAGAATTATTATCGTCTACAGGATCATGGATATTCATGAACAATTATTAAAAAAAACTATAAAACATTTAAAATATATTTTATTTCATAAAATTATTATTAAAAAATAAATTATTTAAATTATCAAATAGCACAATATTATATTTTAATAACAATAATACATATTGAGTCAATCACATATAAAATACTCAAAAATAACAAAGTTATATAATATTTAGTTTAATTTACGTAAGGATCTATTTCCCCTTATAAATACTCCAATATCAGCATTCACCTTATTATTAGGTGAGTAAAGAAAATTTTATTTAATAAGATGTTTACAGTTTCATTCAAATTTTTTTCCTGAAAAGGATAATTTGAATTTAGTTGGATTCGAATATAATTTGAGAGTGAATCACAGAATATTATTTCCATCTCGGTTAAAAAAAAATTACTATTAAATTATTTTATTTTTCAAAAAATTATTTATATAATTTTTAATATATTTTTAAATTTAGAGTATGTAATAGCTCAAAAATTGAAATAAATTTGTTCAAAAATAGGAAAAAATAATAATTAAAATTATAAAAAAATAAATTATTGATAGAGAAAATTTTAAAGTTTAAAATAAATAGAAGTAATATATCATATATTGATATAATACTGTGATAAAATTTAGTAAAAAATAATTTTATATAAGCATACTATAAAAATAATATATTTATTATAAATGTAGTTTTGATTTAATTTAATTTTAAGAATGAGAACTAAAAATTAAATTAAAACAAAATATAAAACGTAATTTTTTAAATTTTTGGTTTCATCAATTTATAATTTTTCAGGTCAATTTAACGATTTAGTTTGTTTTTTCAACATTCTCGCTGTTAAAGTTGCAACCATTGTTTATAATTTAATTTTAAAATTTATAGTTTTATTTAGATGTTGTATATAATTCCCTTTAATGTAATCAACTTAAATTTGATTATCCAAATTTTCCATAATCCTTCATGTTGTGACCCAATAGTAATCAACAAAGTAAAATAATAACAGAGCAAAATTAACTGCATTAAATTTAACAGCTTGCTTGCTACAGCTTCTTACTACATCAGACTGAGAGTCACCAGTCTTTAACCAGATCCATTAACTTGGTGAAACTTTTTAGGAATAGGACCTAACATATAGATCTTCATGAACAGTGGGGAAAGTAAAAGAACTCTTACAAGAATAGGGGAAGGGTAAGAATACACCACTTTTAAATGAATATGTCTCCATTTTTTACAAACATGGACTGACCCTTTTTATTTTTCTTTACTCTCATGTCATTATTAGCTCACATTGGGAACTGTATTCACAAAAACCTAAGGATTAGAGTAGTGAAATCTGTCACCGCACCGTTTAGTATATATGTAAGACCCTAATACTAAGTGAGGTACTCAACCCTTAGATTTAAACAGCACATTGCTAAGAATATCCAGTACTACTAACATTAATAAATGTAATATTTAGTTTGAGATGTTCGATATTAAAAAATCATATCAGACATCAACTGATTTTAATCAAGACAAGTTAGCACATTTAAATAAGTAATAATTTATTTGCTTCCTAATACAAACTAGTGGAAAGAGAAAATTTTTCCTTCCAGCACACTGTATTTGAAATTTTATTTTAGTTTTTTAGAAAGTGGGTAAACTTCCATTGTTGGTGGATTGAGTTAAAATAAACAAACACAAAAAAAAAAGAAGATATATTTACATGACTTGAACATAAAACTTTACTTAGGAAGGATTAAGTTTTTGTCCATTTAAATCAATAGACATTGATATGTATTATTAAGTGTACGGTCGGGGTTTATGTCTGAGAAGCAAAAAAGTGGATATTGCACACAGAACCTGGCATGGTAAATTGTTAATCGTACAAATTAGTGGAAAGACTTTCTTTCTACATTAAATATATGAAAATCTCGTATGTATCATACAAATGAGTACATGGTATGAGAAACTATAGACAGACATGGAGAGGGATATAGTCCAAGGAAGAAAATATTATAAAAGCCAGCAGCCTTATAGAAAAGGGATTTGATTCCTTAGTACCATTTCTCCCATTATGTATTTGGGAAAGGCCAAGAACTGAACAAATTGGGTGTTGCCACCTGTATATGATGGTTTGCCATATTATGTGGAGGCCCTATTGATTGGTGCCATGTTAAAAAAAAATTAAGTAATGCACTTTAGAAATAGTATATCAATTTAATAAATATTGTATTAGTAACTAGTGAGACTAGTGAGAGTTGGTTCATGGTTGGCATGGCTCTGCTTTTGGAAAAGTTAAATAGCAAGCAACCAAATCTCATCCAAATCAACGTGGGATAGGAGTTGGGGATTCGAGATCTCTTAAGCAGAGCCCTACAATTTTTTAACCTGAATCAAAGACTGTTAATTAATTATTACATCTTCTCTCTTTCGTTTTATGGCCCCACATAGCTTATGTTATATAGTAACAATTAACACGGTTCAAGGCATGATGGGATTATGTCCTAAAATTATCATTCACTCTTGTGCTATAATCATTTGAAAAACGCATGTTTGGAACTTTTAATTACGTGCATTTTTATATACTTGTACGTCTTACTTAGCTTCAATTATATAA